ACCAGCTACTTTATAAGCATTATTTACCCTGGGAGATGTAGTGTCAGCTATTAACCCATTTTACAGATGAGGAAACTGAGACTCAGAGAGGTTAAGGACTCTGCCACCAATAAGTGGCAGAGCCAGCCTTCAAGCCCACATCTGGCGGACCTCTGAGCTTTCATCCTCAGCCACTGTATTTTCAGCTTCCCATAAGCCCCGGTGTCAAGAGGAGGAAGAGAGGGTGTGCCTCAGTGTGACCCTCCCAGCCTGGGTGACCCTTTGGCTAAGCAGAGCCACCTGGGCATCCAGGGGCCTCTGGGAGGGGGTGAGTAGGCTGGGCAGGCAGAGCTGCCTTCAGCCTGGTTGCCTCTGACCCCTCTGTGTCCACAGATCAGCCAGGTCTTGGGCAATGAGATGAAGTTTGCTGTTCGGGAGCCTTTGGGCCTCAGGTGAGCATCACGAGTTTGGTGGGGGACAGGGCTAGGGGGCGGGGCTCATCAGCTTGTCCCTGTGTAGTCTTGTCTTTGGTTCCATCCCGTCAAATTCCCTCCCCCAGACCAGCCATCGCTGGGCATCTTGGCTGGAGAGGGAAGGGTTCTGTGGGGCCTGGGGTGGCTCTGACCTTCCTCTCCACGCCTCCCCAGGGTCTGGCAGCTTGTCTCTGCTGTGCTCTTCTCTGGCATCGCCATCATGGTGAGTCCCTGCCTCGCCCCTGGGACCTGGCCCCCTCCCCTGCCCTGGAGCATCCTAGCTCCCATGGTCCGTGGTCCCAACTCCTTGTCACTGGAACCTCAGATCTTCTGTCCTGGTAGGGAGGGGTCGGGGGCAGTCAGTGTCCTGATCCTGGACTGCTACTGGGGAAAGGAAGGAGATGTCCAGGGGAAGTTTCCACAGTGAGCCCCTCACCCTGAGCCTCCCGCCCGCTGTCTGCAGGCCCTCACCTTTCCTGACCAGCTCTATGATGCAGTCTTTGATGGAGTGCAGGTGACCAGCAAGACCCCCATCCGCCTCTACGGCGGCGCCCTCCTCAGTGAGTATTGCTGGGGCAGACTCTGGGGAGGGGATAGGCAGCCGAGGGACCAATAGGGGCCGAGGGAACATGGGGAGCCTTCTTTGTGCAGGGGCTCCCCTTCTCAGAACCCACGCTTCAGCCAACAAGTCTGTCTCTGCTGGGTGTGTGCTGCCATCTTGTGGCCACTGGTAGACTGTCCCCAGGGGATTGGGACTGTCCTCAGCATCATCTGGGACAAAGCACTTATTGAGTGCCTGCTGTGTGTAGTGCACCACCTAGGCATTGGGGTAGAGAAATGAAAGAGGCCCAGGCTCCGCCCTCCAGGGCCTCACAGCCCAGAGGAGGAGGCAGAATCAACACAGTGTCTGTAAAGCCCTCGCCCTTGGACCGCCCACTTGAACCACTTCTGTTTCCTCTCCAGCCTGAGTCACACGCAGCAGTGCCTGTTAGGAAGCTAAATGACAGCATTTAAACCCAGCACTGGGGGTGTCCCTCCTCTTCTCCAAAACATTCTGTGGCTCCCTATTACCCGCAGACTGAAGTCCCAGCTCCTTCCGGTCTCTGATATTCAGGGTCATCTGTGGGGTGCATCCAGCCTTTCTTCCAAACCCCCCTCCCCCACATCCCACGGCGGGCCCCGGACCCCAGCCGCACCTCCTGAGGCCCCCGTTTCAGAAGGCCTCCACGACTTCGCAACACAGTTTCCCCAGCCTTGTGCCAATTGCACTTCTACTTGACCTTCAAGGGCCAGCGCCAGTAGCTCTGGGGTGGGGTTGGGGGGTGGGGACTGGGGCAGCTTCAGGCCCTTCAGCCTCGCAATGGGAGAGCTAGTGTTACGGGTTATGGGTCAGGTTGGATGACGGAGGAGTTTTAATTTGAGCAGTGGGAGTGGGGGCAGGGCATGTCCGGGATCCTGGTTACTTTGTCAAAGGGTGGAGGACCAGGCCCCCTGCCCGTCCCCCAAGGGGGCGGGGGGATCAGGCTACTCTGCCCCCCGCTCCCCTCTTTGTCCCCCACCCCAGGCATCTCCCTGATCATGTGGAATGCTCTCTACACGGCTGAGAAGGTCATCATCCGATGGACCCTGCTCACCGAAGCCTGCTACTTCTCGGTCCAGTTCTTGGGTGAGTCCTGAGGTGGGCAGTGATGGGGAAGCTGATGGGGTACAGGGTGCGGGCAGCTTGGCCCCTGGCCTCCCAACTCGTGCCACTTGTTTTCTGGGAAGCGATGAAAACCTGTGCGAGGGGGAGGGACTCGTGTGGCTGGGTTGACCTGTACACCTGTGCTCACGCAGCTGATAGGTGCCTGTATCCTCCTGCATACACGCCCGTGCACCCACAGTCCACTGCTCACTTGTGGACCCAGCACAGGTGTGATGACACACAACCAGTTCTGCCCACATGATCGCCCCCCATACCTGCTGCGGTTGGCCAGCTGATAGGATGCCCCAGCTCAGGGCGGGGGTCAGTCAGGCAGCCACCCTGGGGCCCATGGCATCCCGTGCTGGGGTAAGGGCTATCCCCACCTCTGACCTGTGTCCCCCCCGGCCTCTCTCCCACAGTGGTCACTGCCACGCTCGCCGAGACGGGCCTCGTGTCCCTGGGGATCCTGCTGCTCCTGGCCAGCCGCCTCCTTTTTGTCGCCATCAGCGTTTACTACTATTACCAAGTCGGCCGAAAACCCAAGAAAGTGTAGCCGCCCGCCGGGCCAGGGGCCCCTCTGGGGCAGGGAGGCCTGGGGACCTCGGTTTCCCTTTGGTTCTGGAAGGCAGGAAGGACCCTGCCCCAGGCAGGCAGGAGTGGCCGCCTTCCTCTCCTCCTGGGCACTCCCCGAACGCTGTGATCTCCTGGGCCCTCAGGTTTGGGGAGGGATGGAGCCTCTGCACCCCATCCTTCCCCCCACACGGTGACACCTCCTGTTCATGGGTGTCTCGGCCTCTGGATCCCCTGGACAGATGCGCGAGGACAGAGCCTGAGTCACAGGCATCCGGCCAAGGCCAGGCTCCTGCCCCTCTGTCACAAGACCCTTCTTTCTTGAGAGGCTGTGGACCGCCTCCTTGCTCTCCCCCAGGCCCCCAGCCAGTCTAGTGCCCAAGCAGCTGAACTTGGCTTCTGCCCATGCCTGGAAAACCTTAGAATTTGACCCTGGGCCCCTTCCCTTCCATGCGGGCGCTCTCCACATGTAGGAGACCCTCTGCCCCCTAAACACACAGCGCAGCTGCGGGCTGGCAGGCAGGGGTCTGCCTTTGACCCCTGGCGCCTCCCCTTCCGCCTTCTGTGAGGTGGGCTGCAGGTGGCAGGGCCTTGTCCTCAGCCACGGCCTCTCCTCGGGCCTCGCTGTTGGCTGCTCTGCCTCCACGCAGCTCCTGAAGGCCCCTCGGTGCCCCCTCTCTCAACTGGCCTGGGTCCAGAGGCTGCCAAGGGCCTCAGCCCCAGGCCGGCCCTGACAGATGGACACCTGGGTAACCCCAGATGGCGGCCACCTGTAAGCGACGGGGTTTGTGGTTGAGGAAGAGAGAGAAGCATGTCTCCATCACTTGGCATGTCCTCCAGGGTCCGAGGTGCACCTGGCTCAGCCCCCTTATCCCCCCTCCCCCCCTCCCCAGGGTGCTGCCCACTGGCCCGGGGTGCCTCTGGGGCCGGCTGGGTAGGACTGGGTGCCCTTCAAGCTCAGCAGGGCAAAAAATAGAAATATTTCAGCAAGCCGCCTCCTCTCATGCCCAGCCCCCATCTGATGCCCTGGAAGAGGCCGGCAGCCGGCTCCCTCAGAGATGAAGACCCCTGCAGGCCCGCAGCCTGTGTGTCCCCCGTGAGGCCTTTACCCGACACCCCCCTTCCCTCCGGCACCCCGGGAGTGGCAGCCCCCGTTTCCTGGGGACAGATGTGGACAGAAGCAGCCCCGGCCCCAGACTTGCTTCCCGTCTTGGAAGAGAGTGTTTAGGGGGCGAGATGGTTGGTCCTTAGGTGCAGCCCAGCTCTGGCTGCTGCGTCCTGGGTCCGGGCCCTGCCCGCGCTGGGCCTCGCTGCCCTCCCTGTGGCCTGCAGCCACACGTCCAGGGACACGGCCTGTGCCCAGCGGAGCACGGCACCGCCGCTGTTAACACAGCCGAGGAGAGAGGCCCAGCGGGTTGGGCGCCCAAGGCTGTGCTGCTGGTAACCGCGGCCGAGCGGAAGGGAGGCTGGACACTAAGGAGGGCCCGTCCTCTCCGGGCCTCCGTCTCTCGGGGCTGAAGTTCATGCCTCTTTGCAGAATCCTGCCCCCAACCGCCGAGCCCCAGGCAGGCCCAGAGCCACGGCAGCCTTTGGGAAGTGGTACTGGCTGGTGGGCAGTGCCCCCAAGCCAAGGCATGTCCTCTGAGCTGACCCATGCTCTTTGAGGCCTGGCTAGCACGCCGCCAAGCGGTGGACGGTCTGTCCTAATGACCGCTGGGCGTGGCGGATAGATTTCCCCCGGGAGGCTAGCAGGGCAGGGGGAAGTCCGGGCGCTGGAGCCGGGCTTTGTGCGGGGCGTCTGCGGGGGCTGAGCCAGCCAAGCTGAGGGAGGGTGGCAGGACCTTGTCCCCGGGGGTGGTAATGCGGGCCTGCTGGGACGATGCTGTCCTGGCTCTGTCCCTCCTAAAGGTTTGGGAGAACCCAGAATGCCCCTTCCCCGGTTCACTTGCCAGCCTCCTGCCTCGGCCCAGCTTCCCCACCCCGCCCCCAAACCAAGGCCACCTTTCCTCACGGTCACTATTTATTCTTCGTTCCTTTCTCTTTTTGTAAGAAACAGTCACAAAAACCAGTGCAAAACCATCAGTGTGGGCGTCCTGCTTTATATTACAAAAACTCCTCTTGATATAGAATATAAAAAAGGGAGGCTCACAGGAAATAAACTTGATAAATTAGCTCTGCTACCTACCGCAAGGAACACTTAGAGTTTTCAAAATAGACTTTCGACATAGGACCCACCGGGGAGGGGAAGAGGGGGCTTCTAGGGAGATGGGGGTGCTGGGCCTCGGCCGGTTTGGGGGATCCTGTCTGGGTCCCTTAGGCATGGAGAGGAGAGAGGGGACAAGGGAGGCTGGGGAGGGGCCCCAGTGCCCAGCCACTAAGCAGGGAAGGTGGCCTTCGGTGCTGGGTGGGGTATGTGACCAAGTGCAAGGTCTCCCCTGGCACCTGGCCTGTTAGCGGGCTCAGGAAGTCTCAGCACAGAGACTTCCTACCCTCCCGCCTCCCAGCAGCCCCCAAATTGCCATCTGCACCTATTAGGGGCTGTGGCCGCTGGCCTTTGCCTTCTCGTGCCCCCGAGAACGGCCGCTGGGAGCCTTGCAGATAGCTCCCAGCCTGCGTTAATGCTACAGAGCAGCGACGCCTGCTTCCCTTTTCCGGCCCCAGAACGTGGTCAGCGGGGGCAGATCAGGGCTCCTTGGCCCCTTTCTGGAGAGCCCTTGGGGATGAGGGTGTTACATCTGCCCTCAAACCCGCCTCCCCCAGGTGTTCCTCCACGACCATCCTTTCTTCTCGGGGGCCCGGAGGGGGTGGTGCCCGATGCCCGGCTCTTCTTACCTTGAAGGCCCCAGATTCTCCTGGGCAGTGGGGACCAGATGGGGCCCTGATGCCTGGGGCGCCCCTGGACCGAAGTCACACAGCTGCCCAATTTGACCCTAAGCCCTGCCTAGCCAGCCGGATTTTTTTTTTTTTTCTTTGTCAACCACACACCAGCCCTCTGCCTCTGCCAGGAAGTTGAAGCCAATTTGTGGGTGGTCTAGAGACCTGCGCTGGGGTGCAAGCTGCACGGCCCCCTGGGTCCTGGGGTTGCCCAGTCACTAGGGAGTTCATAACATCATTTATGGAGTTGCCAGGGCAGACTGACACAGGGACAATCTGGAAAGACCCAGCCCACAATGGGCCAGGACTGGTGAGGACAGCAGGGCGAGTGCAAGGGGGAAGGGGAGAAATAGGGGGAGGGGCAAACCAAATCTTTACAGCAGGCACAGAGCTCAGGCCGCATCTCAGAAGGGGGTAGGTGGCAGAGCAGGGGAGCGCTGGGCTCTAGGCCACTGCTCTGTCTCCCAGTGGCTGGAAAGCTGGAGGGGAGGCTGGAACCTGGCACAGGGCCTTTGAGATAGAATGGGCTCTTCCCAGACCCTGAAGAGGGACAATGAAGAGAGGAGAGCAGGCACCATACTGTCCCTTCCACGCCCATCCCTCAACAAGCTTGAGTTGTTTGGCAGACATCACTAATCAAGATGACACTGTCCTCCCCCACTGAGCCCAGGCCAAGCCTCCGATTCTCCGCACAGCCTCTGGCAGCCACTCCTGATTGATCAGGGTCGAGGCATCTTGCAATAGAGTTGCTAACACTGGTCTAGAATTTGAGACCTGCACATGAGGGGCTGATCTGTGGGTGCTGTGCGGGTGTGAGTAAGTCTGTGGGGAAACCTCTCCCTGCCAGATCCTGGAGGAAACACTCAGAAATGTGCTATGGACAGCGAAGGGACAGGAAAACCGTGTCACAGCAGAAATCATGAGGTGCCCTGGGGTTCTTTAGCCTGGAAATAACGGGGCTTGGGGGGACAACGTGTGGCCTTATCGCTTTGGGAAGGAGAGCAAGTGGGATGCCATGGACAGAACCACAGAAAAACAGGAACCTCTTCCGTGTATTGAGCTGATGTTAAAGTCAGAGCAGTCCAAAGAGAAGCCTGTCTTGGGAGGTAGTAAGCTCCCCGTCCTTGGAGGTGTGCAAGAAGAAGGTGGAGAAGTCTTGGCAGGGATCTTGTGGAAGACATCCGAGTGGCAGTTCTGAGTGAGGAGAGGAGAACCAGATGATCTTGGGGGTTCCTTCCAGCCCTGGGGGCCAGGGAATTGGTGGAGTTGGTGGAGGAAAGGAGGGCAGTGTAGAAAACGGGCTGTGGTGTGTGTGCATGTGTGTGTGTTCCTGGGACTTAGAGAAAAGTGTGGGGAGGTGTCAGGGAGAGCAGGGAGGGCAGAGTCCAGAATTTTCTTAGCTGTGGAGGCGGGAAGAGGCAATTCCTGACCAGCTTGCCCGCTCTCTTCTGGGGAAACCAGGATGCAGAGGCCAGGGAGGGGTGTGAGCAGTAGGTCTGCTGGGACCAACAGAGCCTTGGAGGGAGTGACAGGCACCCTGGGGATGGCGGGGTTCTTGTTCAGAACTGTCACGCACGTGCTGTGTGACTGTAGATGAGAAACTGCTCCTCTCTGGGCTTTCCAGATTATTTGCTCCAACAGATGGGGAAGCACGGACCCTACCGGCTGGGCCATCCTTGGATCCAGCATCTGCAGCCCACTCTCGGCCCCAGCCTGAGGCAGGGACAACTCCATCCTCGGAGGACCGGGGACTCCACGTAGGTTCCAAGTCCTCAAGGACATGGTGACCAGATCTCCTCGGCGCCTCTGGGCTTTGCCAACTTCTCCACAATTTTCTTTTGCCTCCTTCTTGCCTAAATCCTTATTACTTCCTTGGCACCAGATCCTGAAGCTGTGAGTTGAGGGCGCAGGTCCCGGGCTGCCAGATCTGGCTGCACCAAGGAGGGGGCCTGGCCCTGGTGTTGCTTTGGTCTCTAGTGCAGGCTGCATCCTGGGTTCAGGTGCCCGGGCCCCCGCGGAGAACCCCATGGCGCCCGTTCCGGAGTCCAGATGGGCTACATCAGTCCATATTCTTGCCTTCATTTTTTTTGTTAAAAAAATAGCTATTTTCCTCTGCCCCATTTCCTAGCCACTCATCATGGCCTCACCTCCTCCCCCGGGGCCAAGAGGGCAGGGGCGAGGGGGAGGGGAGGGCATTGGGTGCTGGGCAGTGGTGGGTGGGGTGAGTCTTCAATCTTCAGGCCACACCCTCTACTGGATGCCCTGGAAGAGGCACATGGCAAAGACCATGGCAAAAAGCTGCAAAGAAAGTAGGAGTTTGCTTGTCAGGCTGGGCTTGCAGCCCTCCAGGGGGCTGACCCTCCCCAACGAGAAGGGGCTGTCTGCTCTGGGACAGGAAGGGGGGTCCCCCATCACTCTTAGAACACTCCTGCTGCTGGCACTCCTGACACTGCCCTGGGGGCAAGCCCCTCTTGCCAGTCAATGGTCCCCTTCATGCCATGTAGTCATGAAAAGAAGGGGGCCTTGGACATGGGTTCAAATCCAGCTCCCTTATTTGCCAGCAGCAAACTTGGGCCAATACTCAGTTCCCTTCTCTGGGCCCGAGTATGTATCAAGAGTCTACCATGTGCCAGGCACGGTTCTAAGTGCTGTCTCAGAAGCATTTTCACAGACCAGGAAGTGAGACACAGGGAGGTCAGGTAACCCACCTAAGGTCACACAGCTACAAATGGAGGATCCAGGAATGGAGTCTAGGTATTCTGAGTCCAGAGACCATGCTCCTAGCCCCTGCAGTCGCCTCCTTCCAACTCACAGGAAGGAGGTGAGATTGAAGTCTAAGGCAATTAACGATGTAATGAGGCCTGTTATATAGTAGATGCTTAATTAGAAGTTACCAGGATTGTTACTAATAGACAAGGAAGATGCAGCCCTTCTCCAAGCTAGGAGCACAATCACTGAACACCTGTCTAAGGGCCCTGGGGTAGTGGGGTGTGTAGAGACCCTGACTCAGAGATGCCCATTTCTTCAGACTGGCTGATGCCCCTGTGCCAGAGCTCTTGCAAAAGGTCCCCGAATCATTCTGCCTGGCACAGAGGCCACAGCTGGGCTTGCAGGCTGGGTGTGAGGGCAGTAGGTCAGGAACTCAGGCATTGCTTAGCGAGCCCCTATTACATGCCAGGCACGTAGTCCCCGGCACCTGCAAGCCCCACCGTGCCCTAGGAGCAGGCTTCTAGCACCATGCTGCAGATAAGGAAACTGTGGCTCGGGCCTCCTGTGCGTGGGGCGAGGCAGAGCTGGAAGGTGAACTCTAGAAGCCCATGTTCTTCCTGCAGGGGACCCACGCCTGCGTTTTCCCGGGGGGTCTGGTACTGATTTGTGTTTCTTGTTCATTGTTTCCTCCTAGGAGAGGACTTGTTCACCTAGAACAGCGCTGGCATACAGTAGGGGCTCAATCTTTGCTTGACGAACGAATGAATGAATGACCCCTCCCTCTCCCCATCCTCAATAGTCTCCACAAAACTGCTCTAAGCAGGGCTGTAGGACACAGTAAGACGCTAAGCAAGGCCATGTTTATGGTGCCAGGTGGGAGGGGGAAAGCTGAGGATAGGGTGGTCTGACTTCATTTCCTGGCTGGCCGAAGACTGGCAGCCCCTTTCTTGAGATGGGCGGGCCTGGGCAAAGCCCTCTGTCCAACCTCCCAGGGCAGCGGGTTTGAGATCCGGGAGAGGGTGGTAGAAGGAAGGGAAGGGGGAAGCTCTGCCCTTTGGCCAAAGCGCCACCTAGTGGTGGCTCCAAGAGTCTGCGGCTGCCTTCCGTTTGAGGGGGCTCAGGGCCCTTCTGTCTTCACCTCTGGGGCTCAACGTGCGCTTGTGAGGTCCTCAAGGCCCTGCAGGCCCTCAACACCCCACAGAGAATGGGCCTGATCTAGAAGCACAGGCTGTAGCCCCTCCCTGAAATCAGCTGCGTTGATCCTTCAGTCAGAGTTCACTCTGGACCGGGGGTAGGGGTGAGGGCAGCGACTCTCAGGGCCTGTCCATGCCCACCGCCCGCAGACTTGCTCAGATGTGTCCAGAGTCCCAGTGTGACTCGCAGGCAGCAGACAGGCACGGCTGGGCTTACCTGCCCATCGTCCCTGCAGTGGGGACCCACTGGGTCCTGGGTTAAGGACCTGGAGACGGAGGCAGGCTGGGGGTGCCGGCCATGGGGGATCTGCCTGAGACCCTGTGCAGGTGTCTGTCTTGCTTCTGAGGAGCCACAGAAGCAGGGGCCTTTACTTACCTCGATGGCCAGCACCCCTATGGCGAGGGCTCCGGCCAGGTAGACGTAAGTTTCGAAGGCGTTGAGGATCACCGTGTAACAGCCCTGGGAGGGAAGGACCAGAGGTAAAGCCACAGCCAGGAAAGAGGGACAGAGGTCAAGGGCCAGCCTCAGGACAGGAGTGTGAAGCCTGGGAACTGGCATGTGGCCCCAAAGCTCAGGCAGCAGCAGGCCGACCCTGTCACACCGCTGCTGGGACAGTTTGGAGGGGAGGAGCGGGGGAGGCAGGAGGCCCATAAGCTCAGCCACTCAGCAGCAAAGCACCAGAGACCCTCCTGCCCTCCAGTCCCTAAGGCGGGGCTGAAAACTGCCAGCCTGCCTGCTGCCGAATCAGCCACAGACCCGTTCTTCTTTTTTGGTTGGAATATTGGGAAATTTCCCATAAATAGCTGGGCTCCTTGCTTCTCTCATAAAATCAGAAGATCCAGCGAGGTAAGCCATCATTTCTACGTGGCAGTACTTGGGGACAGGTGCTCCCTGGGGAACCACAGTCGCCACCATCCCCTATTGTCCCACACCCACCCTCTCTACTCCTTCCCATTACCAGCCTGGCAGCTGGATTTTGGTTTGTAGCCTCTGCCCTAAGGAAACACAGCCCATTCTTCAAGACCCAGCACATATCTCACCTCCTCCAGGCAGCCTTCCAGGACCAGCCCAGCTCTCACAGGGCCCCTTCTAAATGGATTGAATTCCTGTGCTATTACTGCTTTCTCAAGCAGTCCTCAGGAGGTACAGACTGAGATAGAGACGGACCCAGTAAGACAGAAAGAAAGAGAGGGATGGCATGCGAGCAAAGCCAGGAGCTGCCAGCACGTGACCTCAGCCCCATCCGACCCTGGGTGCCTCACAGCTTGGTCATCTTCGTGTCCATGCTCCTTCCCCTGGCACCGTGCTGACCAGAGACTGATGCACGGTAGTTGCCTTGAATGAAATGTATTTTTAAAGGAGGAGAATTTTCTTTCATTTATGAGAAGCTGTGTATTCTTTGGGCCCAGCCAGAGGACTTGCAAGGGGAAGAGCCCCCGGGTGTGGGTGGGGATCGTGCCTGGTCCCTGCTGGGTGACTCTGGCTGTTTCTGAGCTCTGTTGAGATTCTTGGGTGATTCTTGGGTGTTCACGCCCATTGTCAATCACCCAGAAGCCCCGCCTCATTGGCCGGAAGTGGAAATGACGCCCCATGAGGCTGTGCCCAGGCAGGTGGACGGCAGGACGTGATCTGGGCAGAGTGGCCAGGTGGAGAGCATGAGACCCTCCTGCTGGAGGCTGATGGGGGCTGGGCAGGGAAGGCTCCCACAGGTCCCCCCTTTGAACACTCAGCAGCAAATAGGATGTACCCAGATAAACAGATCCCTCCAGCATGATGTCCTGGATCCACAGTGCTCTTGGGGCTGACGGTGTGTCAGAATCATCTGGGAGGTGGTTAACAATGCAGATGCCAAGGCCTCACCCCCAAGACTCTGGATCAGGGGTTCTGGTGTGAAGCCCAGGAACCTACGTCGTGAGCAGATGCCCCAGGTGATTTCTAATGCCTTTGCCATGGCCGGGCTTTGAGACACCACAGTCCCGGCAAGGACAGCAAGGAAAGAAGGTCTTAGCTGAACTCGGGCCTTATCTCAGCAGTGCCACTGGGAGCCCAGCTAAGGGCTGTGTGATCGGAGCCCTAAGGGCGCCCTCCCACAGGCCAGCTGGTCAGGAGCCCAGAGTGGCTGGAGGCAACTTCAGAGCTGGCAGGGAAGCCCCATCCGCCTGGCCAGGCCAGGGCCATCCTCGATCCGCCTGCAGAGCCGTATCAGGGCAGAACTCAAACTGCCAACCCCCTTGGTCTGTTTAACTCTTTTTGAGGCATCAGAACCCCAACACGTAGAGCCATGGCAGCAGAAAGCTGGCCTGCTCTGGAGGGAAGGGAAGGGAGACAGGGAGGAGCCTGGGAGGGATGCTTCCGGCCTCCCGTCATCCCCTCTGGCTGCCACCTGCCTCCCGGGGCCGACGAGAGCACCCACTGCTGCACACCACCCCTCTACCCCGACACTGGCTTTGTCGAGCAGTCTGGGGGCCTTCCAGACGAGAAGCACCAATGACCCGGGGAGAAGTGGTGGTTACACCAGCCGCTTGCTTACTGGGCAAACTGATAGGCGTCCCTCGTTTTACTGCATTTCATGGATATCGTGTTTTTTTAGAAATTGAAGGCTTGTGGCAACCCTGCGTTAAGCACGTTGTTGGCGCCATTTTTCCAACAGCATTTGCTCACTTCGTGTCTCTGTGTCACCTTTTGGTAATTCTCGCAGTATTTCAAACTTTTTCATTATTATTAGATGTGTTACAGGAATCTGTGATCAGTGATCTTTGACGTTACTACTGCCTCTCGCTGATGCCTCAGATGATGGTGAGCATTATTTTTTTAGCAATAAAGCATTTTAAAATTACAGTATGCACACTGTCTTTTTAGACAGAAGGCTATTGCACACTTAATAAAGTGTAGTGTAAACATAACTTTTATAGGCACTGGGAAACCAAAAAATCCGTGTCCCTCTCTTTATCACGGTGGTCTGCAATGGAACCCGCAGAATCTCTGAGGTGGGCCTGTACTTACTTTTCCTAGGCCTCACTTGCCCCATCCAGAAACTGGGGCTATGTAGGCTGACTACTTCATAGGATTGTGTGAGGACAAAATGAGATGCTGCAGACAAAGCACGTTGAACAGCGTTGGCAGGGAGCCAGCCCTCGGTCCCGTTAGGACCGTGCTGTCTCTCTCTGTGCCCCCCGGTGGTGGGAAATGTCTGAGTGCAGAGTTGGGT